GAGCTAACATCTGTGCCAGTCTTCCTCTATTTTGTATGTGGGATGCCGCCACAGCATGGCTTGATGAGCTGTGTGTAGGTCTATGCCTGGGATCTGAACCAGGAAACCCTGGGCTGCTGAAGCGGAGTGTGGGAACTCAGCCACTGGGCGGCTCCTAGGATGAATTTTTTAAAGTATTGTTTAGTGTAAATGTTTTGGATAGTACTTTTATCTTATCAGCAAATAATTAGAACAATCTAAGTTTAACATTTATATTTGTATATATATTTGAACTTGATATTTTTTAAATACATGAAATACTTAGTTTCACGTCTATTAGATGAATTCTGAATTCTTTTAAACTACAGTATCAGTGTTAACAGCAGCATTCTGGCACTACATGAAATAAATAGAAAAACAGTCATATTGTAATTTTGCTCCTGTGTTACAGTCACTACCCTGATAGCAAGCTATGTTGTATATGAAAAGTGGCTTCAAGTCATAGTAGAGATATGAGGAAACCTAGGATTCCTCGAGAAAAAATGGGAGGAAGCAAGCAAGAGACCCGCTTAGGGAGGCCTAATTGCTATGTTCGTTTCCTTGACAGCCATTTCTAGTGCCTGCTCCGTAATACAGACTGTTTCAGACTTTGCGACTGCAGTTGTAGCCAAGACAGACCAAGTCCTTGCTCTCCTGAATGTAGGTTCTAGTGATGAAAGAACCTTCGTAGACGCCTCAGTGCTGTGTAACAGTAACGGGAAGGACGTGGAGAGCGCGGGGCGCGGGGGCACTTTTGAGTGACAAGGATGTCGGAATGAGGAGGTGAAAAGCAAAGACACTTTGCTCAGACTTTGTATACTCCCAGGATATTTTGAGAAATGAGTGCTGTTCATGCGAAGCTTGTAGAGACAGAAAATTTGCTGAGAACCCTCAATTTAGGACATGAGGAGACAGACACAAGTTTAAAATTGATAAATTTTAATAATTTACCCAGGATTGTATAACTCCTTAGTGAATGAGCTGGGACTGGAATCCAGGTTTCCTAGTTTCCATTCACATTCATTCAGTTGCTTTTCTGTATTTTCTTCAAGTGAACGTTTTCAGCCCCCCAGTCTGTGCCTTGCCAAAATTGTGTTTCATTAACATATGGTGGATGGGAGGAGCGTCTTAGGGAGTTGCATTCAGACTGGGTGGGGGAGCCCATAAGGAGCACGCACAGCCTGTCTTGGAGTAGTTGGAATTCTATGGTTCAGAGGCCTCGTAAGTGAGAATTACGGCAGTGACGTGCTTGGCTTCCTGTAAACCATATGTTTTCACAAACTGAACATTGTGCTGGATCGAGCAGAACTTTGTTTTTTTTGAAGTCTAAGAATTGTATTTTAGTAGATCTGTGAGTTTCACCAAATGAGGACAGTTGAAGATGGCAACTTGGGTTGGTGAGGAGATTAGGAGCTTGGTGGGTGGCGTGGTGCAGATTCGTAGAATCACTTCTGCATCCCGCGGTGACTTGATCCACCAGGCTGATGTTCTCCAGCTGGGTTGGTGCCCTGCGTGTCTGCCTGACGACCCGTCCCATGGGGAGTTCACTGTCTGCACCGCAGTGACCCAGGCTCATGGTTTTGTTTGTGGTGCATTTTAGGATGAGTGGATTAAGGCCTTGCCGGCTGCCCTCGACCTATTCCAATGTAGAGCAGAGGTCGGCCAGATAGTACATAGTTCAGGCTTTGTGGGCCATACAGTCTCTGCTTAATTACAGCTGTGCCTTTAGCATGAAAGCAGCCGTGGACAGTATATAAATGCATGAGCTGTCTGTGTTCCCATGAAACTTTATTTGCAAAAACAAGTAGTGAGTCCAAGAATTGGGCCCACAGGCTCTGGTTTGCTGACCCCTGGTTTAGAGTGATGAGGTAACATTTATGGGACAAGTCTAGCTCCCCTAACGTAAAAGAAATATTTTTGCCCCTCCTCATCTTTCTTTTTAATCTTTTGTGTAATTTGAAATTACAGTGAAATGGTTGTGGCCATCCAAGCAGTCTCCCATTTGACCTTGACGTACCAAAGTCAAAGAAGACACGTTGTGATATTTTCTAAGTTACCTTCTTGTTGGGTAGCCCTTCCCCTTTTCTGGACAGAAGAAAATCTTTATTTCACAAGCTCTTACTTTCAGAAGAGGGTGCTCTGTGTTTTATACTGTAAACACTTCAGTTGGAATTTAAACAAGATGAGGTATTGAGATATATTCCTTTTTAACCAGGCAAAACTGAAATTAAAATTTATGATTTGGATAGCTAATCAGAAGACTCAATTCAGGTTTTTTTTTTTTTAAGCCTTATCCATTCATTCTTTGGCGAGACTATTCATCCACCTTATAATTGATGCAATACCAGGTCAAGAAATAGCATTTTTAATGAAATGAAATATTGCCCTGCTGTTAGTAATGAGGCTTCTGCAGAAATTTGGAAATGTCTCTGAACTAATGAAATGCGAGAAGAACTTAGTCTCCATGTCGATTAGAACTGTATAAAAATATGTTTGTATACAGTCATACGGAGAGATTGCCATGGACTTTTTACCTAGTTAGTATTAATGTGAAGAGGTTTTGGCCCCTATTTTTATTGTTTCCAGGAAATTTCTCTTTTATCATAAGGTTGGTTAAATACATAAATAAATATAATTTCAGTAGGAATTTTTAAAGTCCCTGGTGGGCTACAATAGAAATGAAAGTGAAAATTTTATTTCTAAACCTTAAACTAATTCTTAGTGCATTCACCGCACTTTAGCAGTGTGCGTCAGAAGGAAGATGTGCAGGCATATAGTGGATTTTCTCTGAGTACCGGAATGCACTCTTAAACTTGTTGTGCAGTTTTCTTCCATTTGATCCAGAATGAGTCACCGGAAGGTAGTCTTTTCTTAAGTTCCCTCCTGCACTTCAATATCTCTTTGCCTGCGTCCCTTCACTATGTCTTTGAGGAGGAGCTCCCTTTTCCTTGCCAAGGAGTCCTCTGGCCGCCTCCCCTGACTCTGCTTTGTACGGTTCCTTGTCCTTGCGTCAGGCTTTTACACTTATTGGCTGCCCTGTAATGTCAAAGTCATGGCATCTCTCAGAGCCCCAATTTCCAAATCTGTGAACCTTCTTTGCTCTTTTTTTTGGTGAAGATTAAACATGTAACAGTAAAGCGCTAGACCAATGTTGGGCATAGAGAGTTACGCCATAAATCATAGCTGCCGTCGTTGTAATGGTTGTTTTAAAATCCTACATTTTATCCTTTGCCTGGCTCATCCCCCTTTCACTACTGACTTGCTCGTGTTTCTTCTCTCCTGTAACACTTTGCTCACGCTTGTTTGCCCCTCTAGCGCTGGCGTTGGTGCTGTTTCTTTCTCTTCATTGCTGTCACACCTCTACCGTTGCAATCTGGCTTCCAGCTCCATCTTGCCAAGTGACCGTGCAGCCACCATACTGTGGCTCTTTCTTCTTCTCCATCCTCTACCCTGTCATCCTGGAGACTGCCTTTTTCCTTCATTTCTGTGATAAGGCAGGCCTGAGTTTCCTTGTACTGTTTGACTATACCTTTTCTATTTGCTTCTCTGATTCGAGTCTTCTTTTTAGCCCGCAAATGTTTGTGTTCCCCAAGGTTCTGTTGTTGATGTCTTTTCTCCTCCCTCTACCCCCTTCCCTCATTGACCTCACCTACCCCTGGGCCTTCAGGTAGCCCTTCTATGCAGATGACTATTAAATGTGTAATTCTCATGCACCCTCTTTTGAGCTTATTTTCTTCTACATCTGGAGAGGTCAACCTAGAGGAGCTTTGGGCATCTCAGACTCAGCATGTCCTAAGCCAGATGCATCTGTTCTTGTCCCCGATCAGCTTCTCTAGATTTCCTTTAGCTGTTAATAATAATACCATTCTCCCAGCCTCTATATGTGAGTGCCCCTCTTTCGCCTCATCTCTCCCTCATTCTCCACATTACGTTAGTTGCATCTTCTTAGATTTACCCTTGTAAAGTATCTTTTCTTCCAAAAGTTTTTGTGTATACATATGCATAGAGAGATATCTCAAAAGAAATTCTCCAAAACGTTTAAAGTCTGTTATCTCTGGATGATGGGATTTTATATTGTTTGAATTTTATTTTTTATGTCAGGTAATTCTTACTTATATACTTGTACCCAACCTTTAATCTCACTTCTCAGCTTGCCCTTGTCCTGAGCTTCCTCCGGTGGGACTCCTGGCTGTTTCCTCCATGTGCTCCTGCTTTCTTGACTTTGCTGCTTTACCCAGTGCCTGGTGCATTTGTTCTTTGCATCTCCTGTTGCTGTTTTTCTGGGCTCCTCTCAAGTAAAGTTTCCTTAATGAAACCCATCTCTCAGCGAATGTGCTTTCTCCTTCCCTGAGCTCTCTGCTCCCTGTGTCACTTCCTGTGTTCTGCTTCCCAGTCTTTTTCATGGGTGTTCGTGTTAATCCCTTTGTTAGATTGTAAGCTCCACGAGGGCAGAGATTGAGTCTTACTCATCCTTTCCCCCTGCTGGTTATACTCTCTCAATTTGTCTTTGGGGGACGATCCCTTTTCCTACTGGTTATGGTTTTGGTGGGATGGTCAATCAAAGTGTCCTGCCAAGAGGATGCTCTTCCCCTGGAGTTTGAATTCTGAGTCATGGGATACAAGGACTGACCGTGACTGGCGCTGATTGATCCTGGCCAAGGTGCTCTGAAGAAGCCACTCATTAGTTCCTGCCTCGCACATCCCTGGAGCTGCTCTGGTCCCTCAACTCTCCGAGGCCTGGTTCTTCAGATTTTCCTTCGTATCTGTGAGCTATCTCATATCCTTACAATAAATGTGGCGTTCTCTCTCTCTCTCTTTTTTTTAAATTTTAAGTTAGCCAAAGACAGTTTCTATTGCTTTTACCCAAAGACCCCTACCAATAGAGCTGTTATGATTGGAACTGACCAGACTTAATCCTTTTAGTTCTTATATTGATTTTGATGTGTTTTTTCTTCTTTTTAAAAACAAAAATGAAAAAACAGCCAGAGACTGCTGCTGCTTTGAAACGCACGATAGAAGCCCTGTTGGACAGAGGGGCGATAGTGAGGGACCTGGAGAACCTGGGGGAGCGAGCACTTCCTTACCGGATCTCGGCCCACAGCCGGCAGCACAGTCGAGGAGGGTAAGTGTCTTCAGGAACCACTTGAAAATGTCTTTGATGCGCTCAGTAAAGAATACTGTTCAATTAATCTTAGGAATCATTGTGATTTCACAGTCACTCCCGTTGTGCCAGGTGGTATCCAGGTACACACCCTAGCAATGTTGTGTTGTGAATGGGATGCCGTTATGCTGGCCCGTAATAAACTATGATCAGAGTACGATGACAGGTCACGCTAGGAGCAACAGGTTTATAAGCTTTTGATTATGGGAAACTTTTCTCATCAACGTAAGCACTGTTTCCCCCTGGCATTTCTTTAACTTTTGCCTTTAAAACACCTCAGTGAACAATACATAATGCGTCCTTTGTAAATATGCAGGTTGCAAATAACAAGCAGAATGTACTTCTTATGACTAACGTATATAACCAGAGCCTAACCCACAGTAGAAAAGTGTTTTTACCTGCTCTAACCAATAATCACAATTTTCTGTAATGGAATTTTTTCTCATGTGGGGTATACCAACTTCCTCAAACGTATGTCAAAGATTTGATTCTGTAGTAATAACTATCTTTGTAGAAATCCTTTGAGATCAGCTTGTGTATTGAATTGATTTGAAGCTTCTCTAGGTCCTAAGGGTGTCTTTTTCACACCCGTGGTTCTGGTTTGGAGGAAGAATCTCCTCATAGTGTTGGGTTTCCTAGAAGTCGGTGATAGAGAAGATGGGAATCTGGTTTTAGCATGGTGGAAAAAGTCCAGGAGTAGATCAGCTCTCTGGTACTCGCCAGCTGTGGCCTAGAGCAAGTCGTTTAGCTTCTCTCATCCCTGCTTCCTTGGATACCGAAGCCACCCACGTCGTCAGGGGATTGAATGAGATCATCTCTGAGGATGTGCTCTGTGGACAGTCCTGGCTCTTGTGTGAGTGCTGCTTTCAGTCACGTGGAGCTCGCGGTCTTGGGTGGGTGCAGGACAGGCCTGAGTGGAGTCCTGCCTCCCACCGAGGCTTTCTGACTGCATTTAAACCTTCTGCCGAGACGTGGCACATCCTGCACATTTCGTCTTTTGATTGCTTCACCTTGTTTTGTGCTGGTGTTCAGCATCGTAAGAACACCTCTGAAGAGTGCCTGAGGTGTTGCTAGGCAACGTGAAATGCACAGTGGCTGTTCCTCTTCCACAATCATAACAACAGTGAGGGATGGAGGTTGTGGGTAACGTTTTTTCCTTAACTTAACCACAAAGGACTTAAGAGCAAGGCTATGAATCCTTTTGCCTTTTGGTTTAAAGAGAAGCTCATAAAATTTAGCCAAGACTTCTTAGCTCGGTTCTCTGATGGTACGCACTGAACGGGGGGAAGTCAGTTTCTCATTTGTGCATTTTCAGGGATGTGCGGTAGGAGTGCTGCTTCTGCCATTTTTCCAAGTGGAGGATTTGACTTTGTTGAGGACTGGTATGACCAGCATCCTAGAATTTGCACTTCTCATAAGCGTCTGGGTCGTGCTCCTGCTGCTGTCCCAGGACCACACTTTGAGAGCCGTTGTACTAACTCAGTTTTCAGGCCTCTGTGTGCAGTGGTGGGGTGGGGTGGTGCTGTTTCTCTTTTATGGCTGGATAAGTTCAGATCCTGGAAGAACTCACCTGGAACTACGCCAGAACTGCTAACAGCATTAGCCCCACGTTCCAGATTCCTGACAAGGTATACGTGCCCCACCAAGGACTGGGTTGCTCTCACGTAGTTCATTTACATTTAAGGGTTTTATTCTGGTTCTTTTACTTTCAGATTCTTCAGCAAAGCAGAAGCAACATTCATTCTTTTTCTTTTTCTTTAGTGCTTTATCTCCCCAATTCCCCCCCGTACATAGTTGTGTATCTTAGTTGCAGGTCCTTTTAGTTGTGGCTTGTGGGACGCCGCCTCAGCGTGGCCTGACAGGTGGTGCCATGTCCACACCCAGGATCTAAACTGGCGGCCCAGGCCGCTGCAGCGGAGTGCACGAACTTAACCACTCGGCCACGGGGCCGACCCCTAGGGAAGCAACATTCTTAAGGTGTGTTATATATAGACACAGAAAGGTGGTGACCAGCCCCAGTCACTCATGTCATGTTTTAAGCTTGTTTTTCTGGGATAAATCACTGTCTGGTATTTATTTGTTTACGGTGATGTTTTCTGAAGTGTGGTCTCTGCTACACTAGTTATACAGGTATGCTCCACCGAAAAATGGGGGGTGTGTGTGTGTGATCAGTTCACTTGGGAAGACTTGCCTGATCTGATCCCTTCTAGAGATTCACAGCACATGTTAGCACGTAAATGGTCAGAAGCCCTTCGGTAAGATGCCTTCATTTATCGATTTTATTTGACCATGTTTTCTTTTATTTTTGTAACGCTCACGGATACCCTTCTCAGTGACTTCTCGTAAATGAGGCTGTGGTTTGGAATTCCCTGGATGTGAGGGTAGAGTTGAGTGGTATGTCAGGTGTCTGCAGGGTGGAGCTTCAGCGTAGTCGGAAATTCTTCTGGCTTTAGCCGGTTCTTCCGTATCACTAACCTCAGCGACATTTGTAGCAGGCATTTTGTTCGTTTGACAAGTTGTTTATGTGTGTTGCATGTAGCCACAGGAGATGTTACAAACATGTAGTAAGCAGATTACGTGCCAGGGTGTGCTGGGTGCTGGGCAGGCTCGCTCTTAGGAAGTGCTCTAAGGAGAAACAGAGCAGTCTTGTCTGTTGCACATTTATCAGCATTCAGAAGTTTTTTGCTCTTTTTGAACAGTCCTGGAGGCCATTACATGGATCTGTGATTTTGGTGGGGCACTGATTCGAATCCCAAGGCTGGTGTGCGAGAGCCAGTTTTATAGCTGGCTAATGAGTGAGCCTAGATGTCCTCTGAGAATCCACATTGCACAGTGGTGCTCTTGGTATTATGTGTATGTTGCTTTTACGTTTTATGAGAACAAACAATATGTCGTAGTGGTATTCCCGGGTCTCAGGATGGTTCTTGTGATTGTTGTGGTTCCTGATCTCAAGGAGTTTTCAGCTGAATCAGGGGCTTGCCTGCATATGGCTAACCTAGGCGCCAGCAAGGAGGTGTAAGCAGAGGCCCAGCACAGCAGGGTCACCAGCCCAGGCCGACAGCCAGGCGTCTCTGTTGCAGTTACGTCCCATCATGTGGGGTGATTGCCTCTCCTGTTCTCCCATGCTCACCTCCTTCCCCCGGATCCACACCCTGTTGCACACATGCCAAGTGGACCTGAGAGAGAAATGAGAGTGCAAAAGTGCTTTGCTCAGAGAGATCCTGCTACTTCAGGAGTATTTGTGAAGGAGGAAGAGGTAGTACCTTGAAAGTTGTAGCTGGTGTTTATTATTGTGTCAAGCCTTTTTATGCGGTTTATGCCCCCAAAATACAATCATTATATTCCAAATACTAATTTGGTCAGTCCCCCCTTTAGAAAGAGGTTCCATTCCAGAAATTTGTCTGAAAGTCTTTGGTTTATAGCTAGCAACCTATTTTCCCATTGGAACAATTTGATGGTTAAGTTCCTAGGCTGATCCACGGAAAGTTACTTAACTCAAAATCTCTGAGGCTCAGTAGAAATGGGATAGTCATTTACGTACAGCTGAACACCATTTGAAAACTTGTTTTTAAAAATGCTGCTCTGCGTTGCACCTGGCCGCAGAGTGGATCCTGGGTCACGTCCTCTTTGTCGGGGATGCGGTTGATATTTCAGCTATAAGTAAGACTGTTCTTCTAGGGAAGCCGCGTCCGGCATTAGTTGTCCCCCACGTGATGTGAATTTAGGAACAGGGAGGAGTTGACCAGATCCTCCTGTTGCTGTTTGGACCAGGTTGGGGTGGTTGGGAAGTTTGGGTCTTCTTCCAGCTTTCCAGATGGGGGCTTCTGGCCTCGCTCACTGTCCCCCCACTCCCCCGCCCCGTTGTTGCCAAGCGGTGTCTGGAAACCCCTGGAGCATGATTCAGAGCTGAGAGGTCTTAGAAGGCTTACGGTTCATTCTCTGTTCTGGATTTGCTTTGGTCTCTTGGAGGCCCCCTAGCTCCTCTCTCCTTTGTACCTTTCATAGCGTCATCGACTCTGTGGGAAGGGCAGGGTTGGTGTTGTGGAAAAATCGTAGTGTTCCTCGCAGTCAGAAAGGGGAAGATGTCACACATGCAGCGGGGAGCAGTGGGAGCAGATGCTCATTCAGACCCTTGCTAGAAAGGGGCAGGCATTTTACTGCATCACAGTGTCCGTCACCCTCTGCCAGAACCACTTCAGCATCGTACTCCAGGGCTGCACGTACTAGTTGAAGGCTGTCTTCCCACTAGATGGGGCTGGACTGAGACTCGTGAGTGCCTGCTGGTGCATGAGAGGGAACTATAGAAGAAATCGGGGTCCGTATTTAGTGCCGGGCTTGTGCCTGTTTGTAACAGCGTGCCCCAGATTGGCTTTGTCTGTTTCTACCGGGTCTCATTTTACTGCAGTGAGATTGGGGTGACGGCAGAATGCGTCTGTGTAAGAACTCTTAAGTAGTGAAGGAGGTTTTTCTTGCCTGTTTTCTCCCTTCTTTCTCTGTTCTCATCCGCTTTAAAGTGTGAATAGGTGCTTATAGCAAAGATCTGCTGGCCTACATATAAGATGCCCTTCTATTTACGGGTAAGCAGAAGGATAAAAATAGCAGGCTGTATGGTGAACCAGTGGAATTTTACTGACTTGTTCCCCAAATGTGTCTGCAGCTTACTCCAAGAGAGCTGGCACCCTCTCTAGAGGAGATTGATTCTCCTCTGTAGTTTTCCCGTTAGCTAACATTTCCATGTTCTCGTGCTCTTCTGCCAGCATTGAGTCCAGGCCAGCATCCTGACCCCATTCTTGTGTGTAGCTGCTCCATGACGGGGTTTCAAGGCAGGGCTGCTGTGGCCTTGGAGGTTTCTTTTTAGTGGCAGCGCCCCAAGATTTGTAAGGATTCTGCAGCAGGTTTGGTGGTTTTTAAAATGTATGAGAATAAACAGATAAAAAAGAATGGGGCTTTTCCATGCAGAG